CCCTCTCTGTTTAGAGTATATGAAATGCTAAAAAACCTAAGGGCTGCCTGGGTCTTTTTGTTCCAGTCAGATTTATTTAAGGTACTTTTGCTGACTGAAGTCAGTACTCACTGAGAAAGAATCCTTGTGTTTGAATTTCATGATCTCTGAGTTCTAAGGCTCCTTTCTGGTTTTCAACATCTGCATCAGTGATACTGAGCTCTGGGTAGATGCCAAGCTAGATACCAACAGATTTGAGCTGGGGCTGAACCAGATTGAAGTTAATTGGGTAGAAGATTAAGCTGTTGCATTGCACAGTTGTCTAGTTTAAAACAAGAGTAAGTATTCAAGGACTGTATGGAATTGTAATGGAGTAAAAATACTGCTCAAATAAGTGCTTTCCCCTGCAAAGTGACAGAACCCAGGAAGTTATCTGGTAATGATTGCATAAAACATTTTCATCTAGCAAACCACAGCAGACTTCAAAACATGTAATAGTGCATACTTTTTATCCTACTCCAATGAGATAATTAAGCTAAGCAGGCAGAATTTAACACTGCCAAGTCCATAGGATCATAGAGTAGTTTGGGTTGGGAGGGACCTTAAAGCTAATCCAGTGCCACCCCTTGCCATGGGCAGGGACACCTTCCACCAGCCCAGGTTGCTCCAAGCCCTGTCCATCCTGGCCTTGGACACTTCCAGGGATGGGGCAGCCACAGCTTCTCTGGGCACCCTGTGCCAGGGCCTCCCCACCCTCACAGCAGGTTCTCAATGAACAAATTTCAGTCCATTGCTTTTAACTTTTCACTTTGTAATTCACATGTTGGAAGAGTTCTCCCCTCCCCCTGGCCCTGCTTACTTTGTAGCTGATCATTTTCTGAAGAGCATTAGTGTCTTGTCCACTTCGACAGCTTCTGAAAACCTGAGGGATGTCTGGAGGCTGTGGAATAGTGATGAGCAATACTAGTTGAGCTTTTTGCTGTGATTCCTCTTTTGACCCTGTTCACAGCTTAGTTTGACTCTGGCCTAAATCAGTGAGGTCTGCAGTGGTGAAAGCAGGCTCGGTTTCTCTCCTGGCCCCGTCTCTGACATTTATATGCACATTATAGAGTTGTCTGAGGTTTACTTTTTTTGATTTTTTTTTTTAAAACCTCTTTCTCCCTTTTCTTCCATGGCTCACATTCTCCTCCTCTGCATTTTTGTCAGGCAAAAGGAGAAGATGAAAAGGGAAAATGGAGGAAAGGAAGTGCAGGAAAAGCTCCTGTTCCATGGAACCAACATCTCCTTCATGGAAGCCGTCTGCACTCGGAACTTTGACTGGAGAATTTGTGGAAAAAATGGAAGTAACTATGGAATGGGTATGTAGGAAGTGACTTGGTGTGTTAGATGTCTACCCAGACTCCCCTGATAGTGGAACAATCAAAGTCCTGAAGTCTTTAACTGCAGAAGGTGAAAAAAAAAAGGTACCAATAGGTATTATAATCTTCCTTCTTCTGAAGAGGGCTGGATTTGCTTTGTGTGGGGGCAAGTCTTCTCACAAAATGTCCAGACAATTGATGTAGGGGTTTGCTGTAGATGGGATCTTCTGATGCTTGAGGTCATAATTTGAACTTGCAAGAGAAATTAGTCTTTATGGCAGGGAGCAGGAAGGGTGTGCATTCCCTCAGTGTGATCATGGAAGGGTCATGTTTTCTTGTCTGTCCCTCTCGTTGTAGCACACAATACCTGTAGTGAGATTATATTCATTGCTTTTTAAAAAATTACTCCTGAAATAGCGAATTCTGAATGGAAATTATATGGTGAAATCCTTTTTCTTGCAAAAATTTTGGTGATATAATGTAACCTGAGTAAGAAGAGTCCTGAAAGTGAGGTCAGATACCTCCTGAGAACCAAGGGGATGCTCAGTTTTTGCTGTCCCTGTGTAGATACTCCTTACCACTACGTTTTCATCTTGTTTTCCAGGAAGTTACTTTGCTAGAGATGCTTCCTATTCCCATGCATACTGTCAGGCTGCGGAGAAAGGACACCTGATGTTCGTGGCCCGTGTTTTGGTTGGAGACTATATCACAGGCAATGCAGCCTATGTTCGCCCTCCAAGGAAGTCTGCGGATGGGCTTTGGTTTTATGACAGCTGTGTGGATGATGAGTTAAATCCTTCTGTTTTTGTTGTCTTTGAAAAACACCAGATTTACCCAGAGTACATAATAGAGTATAAAGAGGATGAAAGGAAATGTGTTATATCTTAGAGGGATCGTGGCAGTTTATATCCCTCATCTTGTTTTCCGTACTGCAGGTGTTCTCATACTTGGTGACTTCTTTCTTCTTAATGGAATGTTAATCCAAACAAATTTTGCATTGAAGAGGGCTGGCAAAACAGATGTTACACTTGAGACTAACTGCCTTGTCTTCTGTTCTTCCTCTTTTAAATGAAGCATAGACATTTGGACAACTGCAGCAGGAAAATCAGAATTGTGGGATGAGAAATTGAATGTTATGACTTCTGTGGGCAAATAATTATAAGTGCATTGTCTTAAAAACAGAGAGGATTTCTCTTCGTAAACTGTTAGAAGAAAAATTAACAGTACAGTAGTTTTTAAGGAAGCTTTCAGGTTTTTATAGAGATTCTTTTCAGTGCAGAATTCATCTCTTCTTGATCCTCTAATCTGTCATTACTGTAAACAGCTCAGTGTGGGTAAGAATGAAGAGTCTGTTTTCAAAACACTGCTGGTTAATGCTGATACGAGTTTCGAGTTCAAATGGTAAAAAAAGAAAAAGCCTCTATTTAGGATTTTAATCCATGTCGTTAATTCCTGAGTGAAAATGTTCATCTGTACAATGGCAGATGGATCAGAAAGTTGTCGGATCAAATTCTTTGTGGGGATCTGCAGTAACTTGTTTTGACCTCTACAAAAAGAGCTGAACTGAAGCTGTGAAAGCCACAACCTGTGAGTAAGCAGACACTGAACCTGGGGGTTTGGCTGCAGCTAATGGCCGTAAGGGTGCAAAGGCTGTGTCCCAACGAGCCAGGCTTGGCAGTGCACGGGGCCACGGAGTTTCTCAGTGCCAACATTTGCTTTGCCAATGGGATAGGACAGGAGAAACTTCTTAAGAAGCACTGAGATCTTCTGTCCTGTTTGTCTGCGTTAATTTTCGTTTTTCCAGATGTATGTAGGACACAACTGGAAGAGACCGGTTATGTTCTCTCAAGGCCAGTGGTAGAACTGCTGTCCTAAGACACTGTCCGTGTTTTGTTGCCCACGTTGCACTGGGCAACGCGCTGACAAGTGAGGTTCCTCTTTGTGTTTTGAGGGAGCTGTGGGTGATCCCACATACTGCTTCCCTGACTCTGCTTTGGAGAAACTCGCTTTCTCCATGATGTACAACCCTAACAGTGGTGTCTGAGCCCTTTTTTGCAGTTACCTGCTTTTTATTGTTCCCAAAACACCCCACCAGAAACTTGTGCAGAGTTTCTACTGGATTTTAATAAGGACTCTGTAAGTTGACAGAACTGAAGACCCTCTGTACAAAGATGTCTTATTCAGGCAGCCTAGCTGTTAAGAGGGAAACTGTTGGTGAGGACAGAGGAGCAGTAATTTTTACTTTCAGATAAGCTTTACAGTAACACCAGTAGCCTTCTAGTTTTTTGCATCTGTGATATAAATCTGTCAACCACTCAAAGATTGCAAGTTCCCAAGAGGATGGGAAAAGACAAACCCAGGAAATCTTATTAAAATGACTGTCTTAGAACTAAATGAAAACATGTGTCAGTAAAGCATTAAAAGGGGAAGATTTTGCCACTTTTTAAGATCTCTCTCGTTTGCCTGTAGAGTTCCTGAATCACTGACTTCGCTAGATTTGCAAATAAAATGTGTTTTCAGTCAGTTTTCGCTTGTCAGTGTGCCGTTTGTCTCTGTACGTAAACACGGCAGAGAACCAGCTGCTGCCTGTGCTCTGTGTCTTCCTTCCACATGTCTAAACCAGAACTGCACAGATGTGGGTTGGCATTATGGTGCAGGTGCTTAGCTAGATACAAAGGAGAGAACAGTCTTGATTCAGGAAGAATATTTCTGGAAATTAACTTCCTAAGTAAGATACGTTTAATATTAATGTGGTGGGGTAATGTGCTTGGATTTCATGTAATTGAACAGCTGCTCTGAGCAGTTGTTGAAGTCCTAAAACAAGGGGAAACAATTAAGTGAAGTAGTATCAAAATTACTGGGTTTCATATCTTGAAGTAGTGAGATATTGACTCATTCTAAGGGTGTACTTTTTTAATATCTAGATGATTGACTTTAGAAGAATCTGAATGAGGCAACACTAGATGGAGGGTGCCAGCGAGATGCTGACAGCTTAAAATCAGTCCAAATCACAACATGCAGAGGAAGGACAAAGGAAGAAATAGGAATTGCAGTGCTGTTCACATTGTCAAAACTGCCCTGCTGCCAGGGGGTGCAGCTCTCAAGTGCACAGGGCTTTGGCTTTTTCCTCACGGAGGGGGTGGACTGGAGATGAGAGCTGCTCTGCAGAAGGAAGGAAGAAGAGAACTGCAGTCTGCGCAGCTGAGCTGAAGGGGGGGGAAGCTGCAAAATACATGCTCTGAATGCAGGAGCATGAGGCAGAAAGAAACAATGGTTTATATGTTTATATAAAGTTTGTGTCACCTGCTTTTCAGCTGCTCTGCTTAGGTACAAAGAGCCTTTAGGAGTCAGCATGTCCTTGGTCCAGTTCTTTCTCTCCTGTTCTACCCACTGAGCTACCTGCATGTTAATTATTTTCCAACAATTCAGCAGCACATAGTGAAGTAAGACAGAATGGTTTGAGGATTTTTGATAAAAGTAAGGGGAAGGCAGAAAACCAGAAGTTCTCGTTTATGGGCAAAATTTTTAATACTAGTTGAATGAAAAAGCTTCTAGTCCCAGTGATGGAAGCAAAGTGGATGCACAATGTTAAGGGTTTATGAAATTAAGCTGAATAACACATTTAAAACTTCACATATGTAAAGAAGTCATATACTTGCTTGCTCAATTAAATCCATCTTTGAGTTTATTGATGTAAAGCAGACAAAATTCTCAATTATGGTATATCAAAAGTACTTCAACTGTCATTCTTAAACTTGCATAGCAATGGATCACATAAACCACTCCCTGCAAACACAGCCAGAGATTCCTCAGGCTTTTGTTCCCTAATCAGATTTGTTATATTCATTGAGTAAAAAGGTCCTGTCTAAAGTCATTGCTTGAAATGCACTGATTAAAAATAATAGTAAAAATCCAGTGTAATTTTAGTCCAGAATGAGTCACCCTCAGCCATGGCTGGACAGACAAAGCAGAGATGAAGCTGAAGAACGGTGTAGTCTTAAGTCACAAGACTGCACAAAAGAATGCAACCGCTTACGTGGATTCACAAATTATCATTGCTTTAAAAATAAGCAACTTCTGCCCCAGAGGAGGGCTGGGGGCAGGATGGCAGCAAGGCACTTCCACTTCTTGTTCCTCTATGCAGAAGCTCCAGGGGCAGCGCAGGGCCAGCTATGGAAGTGCTTTCTTAGGTCAAAAGGAAACTGTGTGTAGGAAGAGGCTTCTGTGGACCACGGGAAGAGCCTGAGCTGGGCAGGATGGAAGGGAAGGCATCTGTGGCCAGGAGAGTTTGCAGATGTGGTAGCAAAGCCAGAGCTTGGGCAGTTGAAGAGTGTGGCATTTCTATTCAGGAAGAAGAGGCATTGGTTCAGTTTTGGTTCGAATACCATCTTTCCCATCATCCCAGATTTCTGGAATACTATTGCAAGGCAATCTGTTAACTTGGTACACTGCAGGAATCCAGAGGCACCAGAACTTGACAGAGGCTCATATTGTGCCTCACTTGCAGCACCAGAGCTTATCAGATCACATGTGCTGGGACAGAGCTTTGCAGAAGCTCCCTTTCAGTCTTCACCTGCTCAGAGTGAGTGTGTGCTTTCACACTGGTTTTAAACACCACCTTGTAATGAGATGATGGTGAGGCCTGACTTTCCAAAAACTCAGGTAAGCAAGAAGACCCCAGTCCAAAGTACCCTCCATAGATGGTACTGGTTTAGCTGAAGTCCAGGCTTCTCCTTTTTTTCTCAAAGATTTTCAAGTGCTAAGGGAGTACCCACGTTAGAATAGTCACTATTATGCCTCTTGTCTCTTTTCATCTACATAATAACTTTAGAAAGCTCTGCCATGCTATATTGAGAGGAAAAACCTAACATTTTATGAGAGGGAGTTTAAAAATGTGCACCCAGAAAGAGATCCTGAATGTAGACAGATCTGTAATGCCCAAGTCTGTGACTCATTCCTGAATAGACTAGAAGCTTAATATGGAATTCATTTCAAGCCTGTGTTGGCTCTGACCCCACACCTTCCTCTCAGCTCTGTTTAAAAGCTCCCTTTGAATTACCTGAGCAGTTATTAGTTACTCAACACGTGAGCCAAGTAACAAATTGGGCTAAAGAATGACTGAAATCCAGGCACTGTTACTGCACTGTATACAATCAGGGTCAGAGGGAATGTTCAGGAAAATATACCAGAGAAGCAGTGCCCTTGGGATGCTTCAGAAAGCTGTGCAATATCAGGTTTTCTTCTTTCTTTGTGGAATCATCTAAGATACAACCTCCTGAAACGCAACAGCTGTGTCCTTTTTTCTAAGAAAATTGTTTTGTCAGATCTGTGATCCCTGGGAACCTCCCCGAATTCCAGCACAGCAGCCCTGCCCTCCCTGCAGCCAGCCTTTGTGGTAAGCACATTGCTCTCTCACCTGAAGCATGGAGGGAAGCCTTATGCCATGGAATGGACAGCTGCTGCCTTCCTGATAAGTCGCTCTGTCATGGGTGAATTGGGTCTCACCACATCACGTTCTCTCAGGAGGCACCTGAGAAAGGAGGAGAGAAACAGGACATTGATGAGCACAGCATCAGTGTTCCTGTAAGATCACCAGCAGTGTCCTTGTAAGAGGAAATCAGTCCATAACGACCTGTACTTGAGGCACAGATTTTCCTCACTGGATACACTGGACCTGGGCAGGAATCCCTTGGAGACAGAACAGTGTTGTTTTCAGCACTGACAGACTGAAAACGAGCACCCAGAATTGGAAGCTATTGTACTTTTAATCCTGGTTAAATGCTCCTACATTTCACATAAATGGCTGCATATAATTCTAGCTTTAAATTTATTGGTTTGAGTATACTCATTACTTTTTACTTTTAGTAACACTACTACTTCCACAAATATTTTTCAGGGAAAACACTCACCTTGCAAGGTTTCGTTTGGCCTGTGATTTAGAATTTAAAGCAGCATGAATCAATAACAGGCTGAAAACATCTCTCTGAAAAAAAGAGTCAGTAAAATACAAAGTAATAAGTAATTTATAATGTATTGCCGGTTACAATGTCTTGTTTACCAAATTATTAAATCCACAGAGAGGAAACATATCAACATTAAATTAAATAGCTAACCCTGCTAGTAAGTGTTTGCAAACAGGATTCAGTCACAAGCACAGTTCAGCTTTCACTTTCTAAGAATGAAATGTTGTTGATTAGGTAAGTCCCTAATGGAGGCTCCTGAAAGGGGATTAAATCATATGAAAGAGTCTTTTCTTGTCTCCTTTACCTGGGCATTGCTGCCTCCCAGTTGGACTAGCTGATAACGGATTGGGTACAGCAGGTCTACAGCTTTGTCACAATTTCCATTTTCAAACTCTACAAAAGCCTGGCACAGTGGCAACCCCAAACTAGGAGCCAGGGAAAGCTGGTGGTCTTCACAAGGTGCTCTGTAGAATGAAAGAGGGGTAACTTCCGTAAGTCAAAGCATAAATATGTGCTATTTCAGTGCCAGTCTGACACTGCCTGCAGACAGCTTTTTCTTCTTTTTTAACTGTACAAAGCCTGATGTTTCAGGTCCTTGACTTAGATCATATCCTTTGGTGTAGTACGTTACTTCCACCTTCTTGTTACTCATCCATCAATCAGTTTTCATTCTCCTGAATATACCCACAAAAGGCACAAGCCCAACCCCTCCTATTTTTGCAATAAGCAGTTTTGCCTAAAAAAATAAGAAAACTGCAATTTCTCTTCTGCTGACCTCACCAGAACATGACTGCTTTTTTAACACAGACAAAATGCATCTGGGGGATCATTTATATATTCTAAATTTGTGAGAGATGTAAATTAATCCAATCATTAATACAACCCCTTCATCTCACTGCCTCTTTTCTCAAATAATGAAATTAAGCTCTATAACAGCTAAAAACATACATCTGTATTATTACAAAAGGCTGAACATGTAGGCAAAGGGAAGCACTGGATGAAAGGATAAGTAGTGTATATGAACACCTATGTTCATTAAAGCTTCCCTGATGTGCCGTTTTCTACACTTTATATATACTGACATATAAACTTATATAAAAGATATTTGCCATTTCCTACTTTAGTCAAATCAGACATATTTAGCCTTGCTTTGACAGTTATTTGTTTTTGTAAGTATTCTTAAAAATTACAGTGTTCTTAAAAACTACATATAGCCAGGAACAAATAGTGCCAATTTCAGGATCTCCTTCCTTCTTTTTAAAGAGGAAGGAACAGATGCTGAAACAAAAGGGAAAAAAAGGGTGGAGGGGGAAAGAAATTGCATTTAAAGCATCTATAAATCAACCCCTTAAAAAAATCGTGGCAATTTACAGTCATTTAATACATAAGGGAACGAAATCCCCCCCGTTGTTTAGATGTAATACTTAAATACTCAATTTTTTCAAATAATTTAATTTGAAATCAAAATATTGTAGATTATTACTTTAGTAGTACTTGAAATTTAATTTCCTGCAGATGTACTTCACATCAAACAGCAGCCATAAGAATATCACTACCAGCTAATGTTCTGCTATGAAAGAACCTTTTAAACCAGAGCACAAAAGAACCACCACACACCACTGACTTATATTGTAGAGTGACCTTACTAATAATATACTTTATTCCTCGTATGTGTGATCCCACTGAAAGGAAATAAACTGTTTACAGAATCCAACACTATAACTCCTTTGCTTACTTGGCAAGTTCCTGAAGAGTTGTTAAAAGCTCCTGGGTAGTTTTGTGGTCCTTGGCTCCAAGTGAAGACATCAAGAAGTGCACATCATTGAACAGAAGAATGTGATCTTTGGTGTGCTTCTTCGTGAGTGCAAGAACATCCTTCCACCTGTCTCCAAGCTTCACACCTAAGAGCAAAAAATACTTGTCTCAGTAAAAATGCCACATGCAGAAGCGTGACTTTGCAATGCACTTTCAGTCACTAAGTATAAAAAGGATTCCTACAGAACTCAAGAAAACACACCCTGACGAGGCAAAATGTGTGCAGCAATGCTCAGCTGCAGCTGTGTTTGGGAGCAGAGTTTATTGACTGTCAGGAGTCTAAAGCCAATATTTTAGATTGCATTATGTGAGCTTCTGACTTTATTATGAGAGTGCTCATAATGTCTTCTTGGAAGGGATGCTCACCATGAGCCACCTGTAGCAACCAAAAGACAGTGTGTTAAGATGGATCTAATAAAAAAAACAATGCATCTTAGTGTTTTAGCAGAACAGTGTGAAAATGATGCCTGCCCATCGTGGCCCCCACCATGAACTCTAATGTATAAACACTAGCTTAAAAAGTGAAGGGGAAATGCCACTGAGCCAGGAGAGTACACAAAGCCAAAAGCTAGAATGCACACATTAGCTGTTTCAATCAGGATCAATCAGTGCTCACTTTAAGTAAGCATTACAGCTTTTTAGAGGCTTATGCACTTGATTGCTCAGCCTCAGATCTCCAGGGACAATACAAGTGAATTTCTCAAAGAAGACTTATGTGACCTATGCTAGCTTGAGCTGACTGCAATACCATACTGGCATGGGAAATGGAAGCTCTTGGGAAGAGCAAAGCTTATGGACATCATTAGGAACTTTACATTGATGCTTTTCTCAAGAGCAGAATTTTCTTCTGAAACACTCATGAAGCTTGCTTTGTAACTACATTTAAATACTTCCTCAACATGCAAGGCAGGGGGAGGGGGAAGGGAGAAAGAAAACTGCCTTACAGTTATAAAGAAGAATGGCCAGGGGATATCCCACCTTCCAGCTGGAGCCTGTACAGCATGGAGCAGTTATCGACCACATCCAGCATGCTTCCACTCGCCAGGCACCGCGGGGCAATCTGCAATCACAGGGACTCACAGCCTGGCCAACTCATCTGCTACTGCAAACTCACTCAGATTAGCAAACTTCTTTTCACAGTACAAGTTTGATTTTATCCTTCTATTAATTCAAAATTACCTGTTTTGTAATAGTCCTAATTTCATTTTTCCTGAATACAGGAATTTGCAATGTTAAACCGTGCCACAAATATGACTTCACTTTGTCAAGGTTAGTTGACACAAATCCGCCTAGCAGCTTTCTTAATGCTTGTAGTATTTTTACAATCCTCACAACAATGTGTTATCTAGTTTGATACTGCTTATTTACAGAGATTGTTTTAAAATCCAGGCAGTGGACTTAGTACCTAACATGCAAAACCAGTTTTTTGTTACTTGACTTTATAAGAAAATTATTTTACACCCTTTTAAAAAGCATGAATAGGAAACACAGACAGAATGGAAACCAGTACCACTGTAGCTCTTTCAAACACTCAAACTACGTAACACACCAGTCCTTTGGGCATTTCACCCAAAGCTGTTGAGAAACTGTTTCCCTAAAAAACTGCAATGACAGATGTAAACAGTACATGTACATGTATCACACACTGTGACAGGTTTCTATCTCCCAGAGAAGGAAGAAAGCATGAACTGTGACCTTAAGCACGTTCTCAGTAAAAAAAAGGCCCCTACTCACATGATTGTCATAAATTGTCAAAGCAGCTTCATATTCACCCTGGAAAAGCAAACGAGAGCTGCGTGGTTAACGTGACAAGATCAGAACAAACCAAGTCAAAGAAACACTGAGGTACTGAAAACAGGAATGGAGTCTAAGCAAAACCTGGATTTACAGGGCAAAATGATCAGTATGTTGAGGGTTTGTTTAAAAATAGCTTCCAATACTGCTACAAGTTATTCATGAAGGAGAAAAACCAGGTATTGCTTCTCATTCTAGCGTTCCTTTCAGGGATTTTTGCAAAAATTAGTGCATCCCACAGTGTATGCAAAGAGGTGGGAGGAAAAACAAATTTAAGCCGCCTTCAAAGAACTTGTGTAGATAGAAGGTGGCAAAATAAACAAACCACTACTGAGAATTATGCTCCTTCTATGCTATTCCCACTCAACACAAGCCCTCTGGAGAAGGTATGCTGCCTTCTCAAACATGCCACATTTGTCTCCCTATGGAGCTGAACCCCACAAGTGCTAAGCATTAAATTCAAGGAAATTATGCATTGCAACCTGACAGGTTGGGTAAAATTGCAACCATTTTTGAAGGGTTTCAATAATAAGAATTAGTAACATTAATAACATTGGCAACCCAATTTAGAGCTTACTGCCTCATTTTTATAGTCAGCAAAATTTTGGGCCAGATAATTAGTATCCAATTTGGAAAGAATTTTGGTTTTTTTTGTCTGAAACTTAGAGATCCAAGTTCATCTTTCTATCAAATAACTGTTCTAAATGTAATTAGTAAGACTATTGGATCTTCAAATGTGCAGTAATTTCACAACAATATTTCAACATTCTAACAAAGATCCTGGAACTTTGACCAATGCAATTAAAACTTCTCAAAATATTTGTAATAAAGGACTAACTTTAGTTAGTGTGCCATTGTGCTGTTCTACAAAAACAACCCTTCTCAATAGCTGAACCCCCCTGGAAATGTTAGGTCTGCCTTTTAAACAGCATTAGATGATCTATCTGGACCATAAAACACCTGTATGAAAATATCTCATACCTTTTCAATGAAGTATAAAGCCCAGTGCCAGTAATTGTGGCAAGCAAGCATATCACTGTTCTGGAAAAAAAAAAAAAAGAAAAAAAGAAAGAAATTATTTACAAAATAACTTCCTTTTTAAATTTATGTAGTCAGATTTTTGTTTCCTTCTTCAGCAAAACTGAGTATTTACTGAGAGACAAAAGAGACAATCAACTGGCCAGGGTACGTTTGTCCCTGCAGCTATTCAGGGAGACAACTCAAACCCAAGGCTTCCCCCACATCATTTTCACTCAGATGCCTCAGCATTCACCCTTCTACTTACTGATCTTGCACTTGATTTTATTTGGATAAAGAGTATAAATCACAGAGATGTGCAACTATTTGAAGCAGCAAGAGTTCCAAAATCAATCCAAAAGTCACTGGGGTTTTCAAGGTATCCGAACTGTCAATCCCCTGCATCACACTTTCACTAAAACTAACATATTAAAGGACAAAATGCTTCCTGGGAAATGACAGATGTGAACTTCAAGCAAGGCTTTTCTGCCTGCACTTCCAATGCTTAACTTAAAAACCCCAAGTCTTTCTAGTCTCATTATCCAGCCCTGTTCTCTGGGTGAGGTGGAATGGTCAGTTCAGGTGACTCTAAGATAGACTCTCATGGGTTCTAACAATTTCAAACCTCACAGCCTTCTGCTCTGAATATAACAAACAATCATTGGGGAAACACATGCTGTCCAATACAAAACTTAAGCTTCATTTGCAGCAAAGGACTGTGTGACAGACTAATTAACCTCTTCAATACTCTGGAAGATGGGATTGAACATGTTGGATGTATAAGGTAACCAGTACACAAGAAAGTAATTAGTACACTAGAAAAGAGACAAAAGCATCATTTCTCTTTACAGTTGATCTCTAAAACTCTGCATTGCTTGTAACACGTTTGCAGATAGGAAGGAATTGCATGCAGAGGACTCAAGAACTTGGCTACCAGAGTTAAAGAAGACCTAGAAGGAGCTTTTTTAGAGATGCCACAAGAATGTTTACCTTCCAGTTGTTTTCTGTTTCCTTCATAAATTCTAAGCCTTTCTTCACATCTGCTTTCATTTCATTTACATGAGCTATAGTATGGACAGACCATGCATCTGTCTGATTTATAGCCAAAGCCTAGGAGTGAAAAACAGGAAAACATGATCAACCTTACAGACTTGCAAATACGAACATTTATCACTGCTTATCTACAAACAAGAGACTACTTTTTACTTTCTGCATGTCAAGTACAGCCCTGTACCACTCCAACTATCCACAGCCTGGAAATCTGAGTATTCAGCCAATTCCACCTCCTTGCTCCAACAACTCCCACTAGGCTCTAGGCATTTTGCAAGGTTAGCCATAAACCTAGTAATGTTAAGTGTTAGTTGTCACTTCCAGCAATTTGATGGAAGTTTGTCAAAAACACCCGTTAGGGATTAATTGTATCTGAGACTCCTGTAGGACAGAGCTAATCCCATGGACTGGAGAAAGTCAAGTATAACTACTATCTTCATAAAAGGAGACAGGCTGGCTAATACTGATGCCCAGGACCATTGTACAGTTAATTGTTCAATAATTCAGGAACAAGCATCTAGGACAAAAAGGGAGGGGGAGCCCAAACGGGATGGATTGTCACGAGCAGACTACATTGAGGCAATCCAGCATTCTATAATAGGAGCAAACAGCCAATCTTACACGGGGGAAATGGCAGATGGGCTGATAGATGGATTTCATAGGGCTGTTCTGAGCCCATCTGACATGGCATGCTCATAAGCAACCGAGGGAAATACAGTCCAGCTGCAACTGCCATGGTGGGGCAGAAATGTGAGAACAGGTACCAGCAAGGCTCATGAAGCTCTGTGAGCATTTCCATGTTGAGCTTTATCTCCTTGCTACTTCAACTAACAACTGGGATGAGAGAGAGTCAGTTCATGGCATTGGCACAAACCACCACCCAGCAAGAGGGACCGTGTTTGAGAATTCTAAAACCTTTTAGCCCCAAGAGCAGGCAGTTTACCTCGCGGGCAACCTCCTCAGCACGGTCAAAAAAGTTTGTTTCCACGAGTCCAAAAGAGTAGTAGCCTTTCACATAGCTAACAAAAGGGGGGAAAACAGCACATCATGCATTTGTAACTAGATTTAATACAGCACTGAAAAGACATACTAGAAATAGCATTTGACTCAAACCAGTCCTTACAGTGCAAAGTTACAATGAGAGTTGAAGCTTGCAGGATACAGAATTGCTAAGCTAGTTCTCAGAGGAAAAGAGTGGCCCAGAGACACCAGCATGGGAAACAGTAAGAAGATGCACATCAGAACAGACATTTCCATTTTTGGATGAGATGGAATCAAGAGCTGCACAGAACAAGCTGTTCATCTCCGTAACAGCTGCAAGATGCTGAATTAGAAAGCTGGAAGTGAGACAGTGTTGTCACCAAAGTTATCAGAGCATCTCAAAGGCAACCTTCTCCACTTTTTCCAGTGCCCCAAAACCATACATAAAAAATATATATAATAAAATAATAGAACTACAGGAAAGTACTTTTATGTGAAGTGGCCCTTTAAAACTGGTTATAAATCATCCCCATTAAGCCATAAAGGCCCAATGTAAAGGAAAATCAGGGATGTTATACGCTCTTACATATATGCCCGATACAGTCATTTTAAAAAATACTGAACTGCTACTCTACATGCAGATTTCTGGATGGCAAAACACCACAAGGTAAGTTTCTGCTTCTCAAAATACGTGTTGGGGTATTGGAGGGACTACTAAAAAGTGTGGGGGATGTTGCACCTGATCATGCATCAAGACAAATACTGATTTTTTTTTTCATCAACGTTCAATTCATCAATTCACCTGTAATTCAACTCTCCATGCCTGTGAGTTTCAGGGCAGTTTTATCCTGTGCATTCCATGCCACGTGCTGTATTTGACAGCAGTGAGACACAAGCTCCCTTAAGAAAAATCCCTCAACAACAGTGTCAAGAGGGACACTGCAGACACGTTCTGTCTGTGGTCAAGCTTGATTCACTTCTGAGCCCTTGGTTTTTGTCTACGTGTCTGATTCCAACAGATCCTGTTACTTAGGTGTGTCTGAACTTAAAAACCACAAAGTATGTGCACACCAGGTGAAGAGCAATTTTCAAAACTAAGCACGACCCACCTGCTCAGTGGAACATCAGGTGTCCAGAAAGGATAAACCCGGGCAACAGAATCTCGCATCTGTACCTGATATCCCAGGTAGAAATAAGTGTCGTGGGAAAACTTGAGGGCTAGCAGGTCAGTTGGGTGTCTCTGCAGAATCTGTTCCCACAGATCACAAGCTTCTGGAAGCTGGCTAGAAATAAAAAATTATTTCCATTGCTGAAAGAAGGCACACATACCTGCTGCTACTGTTAGTTCTGAGCTCGCACTATGCTGAAAAATAGAAAATTCAACATCAAATGACTTGTTTCTTCCTTGAAGGAATTTTTAGTCTTTTTTAAAGTAATAATGGCGTTATCTTTGCTCCACACCTTCTGAGAAATCTTTTGAAAGAAATGTCCTCGGGTTACACCAAGTCACTGTAACACACAAGGAAAATGAAAGAAGCTTAAGCCATAAACCTGAAGATTTTCCTACAGGGCTGAACAGTTCTTACAGACATCTACCATGATTAAACTAACTTCACATGTGCAAAGACAGCTTCCCTCTCCTCTAGTCGGAATCAAACCCATAGTGACAGGGCTTCAAGAGCTTCCTCTTTACCTCTGCTGAGAAGTATGTGAGATAACTCCCTGCTCATCCATTTGTTTGGCAAACTAATGGAAGTGAATCAGCCCACACTTTCTGCAGTGCACACAGATTTATCATATGGAGTGAAACGGTGAGCTTCTACAGTACTTGTGCTACTCTGGTATGTCCCTGTTTTACAGAGGAAATAGGTTTTGACATAGGAAGACAACAGAGAGAAGAAAAGTCTGTTTGTAACTTTGCTCCTGTGCACCCGAGTCTGGACCCTACTGTAGCCAAATACTTTGTTTCCTAGTTCTAAACCACATACTCCACTGATGGATCTCTGACAGGTTTAAAACATGGAGTGGTTACTGCTAGGAAATGGTGGCAATAGAGCACTTTACTCCTACAGTGCAGTGTTGCTCACTAACTAGACAGGGCACTTGGAGCCAAGAGAGAAAAGCAGGAACCCCCTGTGACATCTCACTCCGATCCTTTGCTAGATGTCAGCCAGTATCACACCCCTCCCACTTGCAACCACTGCTTCCGCCTGTGGCAGCGAAAACCCGTCAGTGCCTTGCACAGGGTGACAGGGGACTCACCCCCTGGCAAACATGTCCAGCGCTGACACGTGCAGCTTCTCCCGCTCCGTCAGTGGCTGGGACTCAGAAAGTGCCACCATCATTCTCATGGCACGGTCCAGCTCTTTGTCGAGTCGCACGGAGCTTCCAGTGCCAACCAGCTCCAAACCATTAGCAATGACATGTCCCATTGCTACAGAAAACAGCACAGCACAAGCTGAGCTCTACAGCATCACCTTCATCTCCACATTACACAAGAGGAGCTGAGAATTTTAAGCAAGACTGACTTGGGGTCACAGAAATCCAGAAAGTCTCCTAAGCCTAAAGTTCTTAGAGGCTTTTCATGAAAAAAACCCTCACAAAACCATCCTGCTTGCTCTAGATTCTGAGGAAGTTTCACATTACAGAATTCCATAAGCCATCACCTTGCCCTTGCACAAAGTCAGTTAACTACCAGGACACCAGGTATTACCTAGCACTTCTCATGCTCAGAATTAAAGGTTATACTCACCAAAATTTGGATCCGCTGCTTTTAACTTGGAGAGGCATCCCTCAATACCTCCAAGGCTCTCATCATTGGTCCAGGTTGCATACTGTAACAGAGACAGACCAAGAGAGGCCTGAGGGTTGAGAAATCTTCTATGACACTGGGCTTCTTTTCTCCCTCCCAGGCATGTAAAATTCAAAAATAAGCAAGGCAAATGACTAAAAGACAAACGCTGCATTCAGATAGGTTTAGTGCAGTAGGAAAACAGAAAAACTGAAGGGTTTTAAGACAGTTCAGCCACCAGCAGGACCAATGACCCTGGATTTTTACATGTTTTTATATCAACTGGTTGATTTGGCAGTGTCAAGTGGCATGAGCACGTTGGCCGAGGCTTTCACCACAGCATCTGGCACAGCCCTCTGCTACGAGGGTTTCCTGCTGCCACCTAACAGCTGGACTCCTGTGGTGGCCTGACTTTGAGGTTCTCCCAGCTGACAAGAAATTTAAATGTCAGCTACAGCGAAGGCTGTTTCATGCTTGAGTCCCTGCACATCACATTTTCTCCCACCTTTGGGTCATACCTGTGTCAGCGCAGCATCGAAGAGCTTACAGGCTTCATTGCTCGTCGTGGACAGGACAAGTCCAGCATCCCGCCAGGCCTGCACAACAAAAACCACAAACCTGCTCATTTTACACCCTCGTGTTCCAGGCTACACTGACAGATGTTCAAAGTGATGGGTGCTTTGATGTTTTCATCAACTACGCCGTTTTAAAGAGAAAAGGTGGAAGGACAGTGTGAGCAGACACAAACCTTTTGTTCCGTTGCAGTTACATCCCAAGATTCAATTAGTTGGAGCTAGTAGTGAGACCAAGGAAGCAAACAATTATGAAGTGTAATAGAAGATCTTGGTGGGTTACACATCTCACGAGAGAGCCATTCTGACTTCATTACAGCTGTTGACCAGTCCCTCTGCTGCAGGCACATCTCATGAGAAGTAGAGACGTGGTAAAACAAAACTCTCTTCTTTTATAATGGAATTCAATACCTTAAGTAACTTGCAGCCCAAACAGCCTGGCAGAGCAAATCCACCAAGTCACTGGAGTTAACCAGCAGAAAATCTGGATCACAGATTTCCATGCAAGCCTTACAGAAGTAAGAACATGGGCAACAGATAGAGCTAAAAAGCTTAACAGAATTGGGCTGCCACAGTTTCTAATAAGCTAACATGACTGAGGCACAGCATCTTCTGGCTTTACTCTTACTCCAGCACACAGAATGTAGAGGATAGACACACATCACAAAAACAGGCCTGGGGAAAGCCAATTCAGACTCCTCCTAATGGGGGCTTAGTTCTTCCTGATGCTGCAAGAATTCAGCTGGTCTCATTTTACACTTTAACGTATTTCCTGGCTATAATGACCCAACTGTCAAAAATTGCTAGTAACCTGGCAAGGACATCTTTGTTAATATATCCTAAAGCTTTCCCACTGTGATTGGATTAAAGGCTCACATTCCAGCAGCTGAAGCACAAGGCTTCGAATTACAAGCCTGAAAGAGTAGGCTTGAATATAAAATTACAGATTTTCTTTACAATTCACACTATATCCAGAAAAGGAGCAAAGTGAAAAGTCGAGCAGGTAGCAAGGTTAGGCTTGCTACTTACAGGCTACCTTCCATGGTGCCCTGCAAATTAGGCCAGGAGCCACCCTCAGCACCAGTTATCAAAAACAAGCTCCGTTTGGAGCAGGTTGTGTGCCACTGCCCATTTTACACAACAGCTTGAGATCCTTGCCCAACAGAAAATGGTGTCCTGTTCTGAAAAGATTTCTTAATGCTGATTCACAGGAATGGAAATGTCTGTGAGCACCAGAACAAACCAGCAGAGCAAGGGTTAGTGCAAAATAGGCCTGCATCCATCCCTAAGGACACTGCTGATCTAGCTGAGGTACATGCTATTTCCAACTGCTCTAGAGAGCCTCTGTCCTGCTATGGCTACACCTGCACATCTCACTCCTCCGGGGAAGACTCACTCTCTAGCAACAGGACACAAGGGATGCCACTCCTCTCCCTGTTAGCACACCAGGACAATGGGCTGCAGTGGAGAAGCACCTCACAGCAGCTGCTGGCTCCTCAGAGACAGAAAAGATGTGCTACAAACCTAACCTGTCACTGTCAACCGAGAACCAGCTATTGCGACCAGAGAGGAGCCAACACCCCCTGTCCTCTGGGTCATACACAACAGGTCCTGCCCAGACTACTTGGGACACTCATGTCCTGGGGCTTGTCTGCACTCAGGTATCAAACTGTGACTGAAGAAATCCTGAGGGGAGTGTGAGTAGGTAAAAATCAGCCTCAAGAGTCTATAAAGCAATTACCAGCTCTCCTTCCCACAGAGCCTGCCTTTGACTTCTGTCACACTGATCTCCCACATCCCTCCTCTCTAACTCCAGAAGAGACCCTTCTTGATGATGCCTCTTGGATGAGAGAGCCGTGGCCTTGGCTCTTCTCACTGCTTCTTGGCGAGACCAAAGCCTTGCCCTTTCCCCGCTCTAAGATTAGACTTCTGTCACGAGATCTAGTGACCATTTATTTGTATGTTTTTCCCTGCTAGAATCACAGCTGGCTCTGAGAATTGTGCTCTTTGCATTGGCACCTTTTGTATTCCTTGTGGGGCAGATCCCCAGGGCTCTGGCGATCACGCACCCATCGCAGTCTTATGCAATAGTCAAGACTTCTTACTTTACCTGCCCCTGCCTAATCAACCAAAACACAACAATAACAGTTCATCCGGAAGAAAGCGCGCAAACGACTAATCGGTAACCAGCACCTGCAGGTCGACATCGGACCCTTGGACTTGACGCTGGTTTAAAGTTAAGCGAAGGCCTGACCCACTTCTGCTGCCCACGGAAAGAGCAGGTGGGTGCCGCGGGACCCCTGCGCTGTCAACAACACCCAGAGATGTTCAGACACGGCTGCACCCGGCGGGAGGGACGGTGGGAGGGACGGCTCAGCGTCCGCAGCGCTGCCCTCACCCCACAGCCCCTCAGCCCCTCAGCGCTGCCCTCACCTCGCAGTCCCTCACCCTGCAGTCCCTCAGACCCTCACCCCGCAGTCCGTCAGACCCTCGGCGCTGCCCTCAGCCCGCAGTCCCTCAGACCCTCAGCGCTGCGCTCACCTTGCAGTCCCTCAGCCCGCAGTCCCTCAGCCCCTCAGCGCTGCCCTCAGCCCGCAGTCCCTCAGCCCGCAGCGCTGCGCTCACCTTGCAGTCCCTCAGCGCCGCCATGTTCCCTGCGCAGCCCGGCGGTGCCTCGCGCTGGGGGCGGGCCCGGCGGGGGCGGGGCGGGCCCGGGGGCGGGGCCGGGCCCGGCGTGCTCGCGCGGGCGGCGAATGTGAGCGGTTGGTGTGCGCGGAGCTCTCGCGCCGACGCTGAGGGAGCTCGTGGCCATCAGTGGCCCAAAGTCCTCGTTCCTTGCTCCGGACCCTCCTCCGGCCCGCAGTGTCCGACCTTATATACCGTTCTCACCGGCTGCGCCCCGGGGGCATCTCCCCGCGCCCCGTCCCCTCTCACCGCGATGGCCGCGCACCTCCTGTTGCTCCTGCAGCTGCTCGCCTGCTGCCCCCGGGGCTCGGGGGCGTCCCGTCCCCGTCTCCAGCCATCCCCCCTGCGGGTCAGCTGCCCGGGCCCTCACGGCCGAGTCTCCCAGCGGCAGGACAATGAGCACAGGGTCTCGTGCCTGTGGAACAGCACCGTGACCCTGCGTTACGGGCCCGCCCCGGGAGCAAGGCCGGAGGTAGAGGAGACAGAGGGGCAGCCGCCACCCCCACCGCGCTGCTTCTGGTACCTGAACTCGGGCCGTGTGGGGAACACCTCGCGCTGGGCAGGGCAGGTGGTGCTGCAGGCAGGACACGCTCCTCCGCCCGGGGCCTCCAGCCTCCTTACGGTGCAATGCTCGTCTGCTTCCTGCGCTGCACCCGAGTGCTTTCACCGCAACGTGAGCATCGACATCTCCGTGCAGGACGTGCGGCTGTTCGTGCTTTGGCCGCAGACACGTCTGATCGGCGTGTGGCAGCCGGTGGAGCTGGGCTGGTGTGCCCGCCTCAAGAGTGCCCGCTGGCAGTACCGCTTCAGCAGCGGGGGAGGCAGCCCCTCCACCCTTCTCCTTCCCAGCGGCGAGTACCAGGACACACCGCCACCTGCCATCTACCCAACAGCTGAGCTGCAACGGACCTGTGCCACTTACCACAGCTACCGCTTGACTGTGCGCTACAGAAACCACGGCATCCACGTTGCTTCGGTCACCATCGAGCAGATGCCTCAGATAAGCCTCAGCCTCTCTCTCAAGGTGGAGCCCGACTTGCTGCATGTCCTCAGCATTGGCTCCAAGCTCCTTAGTGTTTCTCAGCAGCCCCTTAGCTTGTCCTGGAGGCTTCAGCCCCTGACCATGAGCGTACTTGCCTACAGACTGGTGGACACACAGGCTATAGGAGGTTGGCTCCGCTCCTACAGTTCCTTTATGACACCGAGCAACTTCTGTGCCATATCCACACCTCAGAGCCAGAGCGAGATAGTGGTGGCCAGTGTTTACTTTCATGTTGATGGAAAGAGGTTTGAGGAACTGTCAGGAGAACTGCACCTACTCAATGGTACTTTGATCCTAACTGCAGGCAGAGAAACTCCCACCCACATCAACCTGCAGCCAGGGAAGACCAACAGCAGCACTTACATTTTCAGGTACAGCCAGGGAACATTTTACACATCTAAAGAAAACAACAGCCCTGTTTCCACAGACTGCCCTAATACACGCACTGTCTTCTACCAACACAAAGAGCTCTCCTACTTACTCACCATAGAATTTGTGACCTTCCAGTGGTACAAGTTCAATATGTACCTTTATATGAATCAGAAGAGGGCTTTGTTTAGGTCTCTGGCAGAAAGAGACCTTGAAGTACATGTTTTCAGTAGCCGCCCTTCTTTTCTGCAGAACTTTACTTATTTAGTGTGGTTTATCCCCACCCAACATCCGATGCTGCAGTGTGAGTGGACCTTCCATCTGCAGCTCCTTGGAACACAAAAAGACCACATTGTCCAGAACAGCACGTACACATACAGCGATCATGTAAGAAACGCCACACGTTTTGTCCGTCGCTCTGCTTTACCCTTTGATGCAGAGAATTACACGGGGTTTGTGGCAAAGGTGAACTGTACTGGCAGTGCACCTACACCGGCTCTTTTAAGAGTCAGAGTCAACAACTATACTGACAAAACCATAGAAGCACCAGTGCTTTGCCAGACAAAACCGTGTAAGATAGCCTTGGTGTGGATTCAGAGAAATGATCGCAGAGCATTTATCCTGTACCGGAAAAGGTCAGAATCTTTTTACCTCTTTGTCAGATTGCTCGTAGAATGCCAGACTGCTATATCTGTGAAGCCCTTTTGGCGCATCTATCCTGTTAAGGACACAAAAACTGCACCGGACTGGTCAAAACCAATGAACAGTTCTGCCTTTTATGGCATAGAAATGATACATTTAACTGTTCCCAGTAATACTTTAGATTACGGGTTGTATCTGTTTTATTTCACTGTTGAGGTAATGCCGATGACCACCAGAGAAATCCTCAGGGGGCAAGACAGAATCTATGTTCAGATCGAGAGAGCTAATCTAATGGCAAATATTTCAGGAGGTGACTTCCGCATGGTGGGCTTTTCTGAAAGCTGGACTCTTGATGGCTCTGCATCCTCTGATCCTGATTCACAGGAAGGATCAATCTCATTTACTTGGTACTGCACTAGAGATTTGAGAGACTATCAATCCATGAAATTCAGGCCAGAAAACAAATGCCATCCATCCCAGAAGGATCTGCGCTGGTTAACACCCTCAGGTCCCATTCAAAGAATGGCACCAGAATCCCTCCCAGGAAGAAGCATATACTACTTTCGCCTAGTGATTCAAAAGGGCAGAAGGATGAGCCATGCTGATCAAGTGGTAGAGGTGGCGGCCGGCCCCCCACTCCATCTGAACGTGGCATGCATTGAAAACTGTGGTAGCACTTTAATTCCTACAGAGAGATTTGCCTTGTCTGGTAAATGCTTAAACTGTAAACCAATCAACAAGCCAGTCTACCACTGGTCCCTTTTGTCAGGCAGCGGTAGAGAAATTAGCTTTGACTGGTCTTCCAAAACATCAACAGGGAGGTCTGGGGCTTACATGTCTATACATGCTCTGACTTTCATGAGGGCTACATCTCCATCCTACACACTTAACTTAAGAGTAACTACCTGGGATGGTAGGACCTCAGTCCACAGCAGAAGATTTAGGGTAAATACTCCTCCTCGGGCCGGCAGGTGTAACTTGAACCCACGTGGGGGCATAGCCTTTCAGACAAAATTTGTGGTTAGATGCAAAGGATTTTCTGGCAGCAATTTACCTCTGACATATAAAGTGATAGTGGCTTCCAACGTACCCGAAACTACCAAAGTAACTTCTGTGGTGGAAAACACGTTTGGCACAATTCTGTACTTTGGTTCTGAGCCTAAAAGTCCTCTATCTTATCTCCCACCTGGAGCGCCCTCTCACAGGTACACCTTGACACTTTACGTTCAAGTCCGTGATTCCCTCGGGGCGTTTACCCAGGTGACTTTGCACACCTCTGTCCGGAACCCACCAAACACTCAGTTACTCCCTGCTGTGTTCCATGAACTGCTGGCCTCAGCAAGCAGTTTAAGCACAGCTGGTCCCAAGGCTGGGGATGATCTTAGAGCTGGTTATTTGGCTTACCTGGCAGCCTCAATCTTGAACTATGTTAAAACCGCACCGACTCCCCAGCTCCCTCAGACTAAGCTTCGGGAAACCCTGGTTAAAACAGCCCTGAATATTTCGGTTAAGAGCATTATGGGAGTCAATCAAGTAGTGGCTGTTCTTGCTGCAGTCACAGAGGAAGTTGAGGAAATGAACATTAGGTCACAAGGCCTCGCCATTACAAAACTGAGAGAAGTAACAGGAATTCTGAAGATACAGAGAAATCAGATACATTGGTCTGAGGAAGCAGAAATTCAGACCAGTGGAATACTAAGATGCTTGTCCAACATCCTGAGATCTGATCTTACGGATCTCAAGAATGTCAGTGCAGATGGAATCGAACAAGTCTTGTCCATCATGGAAGGTGTAACAGAGGTAGCTTTCCGGGGCAAAGTCCCTGGAGAAATAGAAACTTTAATGGAAACGAAAGACTGGAATATCACTCTGAAGAAAGATGAAGCCTGGGACGTTGTAAATGCTGTCCCTACCGGCGACACCTGCAGGAATTGCTTTTATCCAACACTGAAAACAGGAGATATTTCAGGATTTGACCGGCATGCTGTGTTTTCCACTGCCATTTTTGAGTTTGATAAGACCCCCTTCCCTTGGTTAGGTTACACAGCACAAATCAGAACAATGGTCTTGGGGTTTAAAATGGCAGAGAGTAGGGCTGATGGGGAACTAGTTGGGATCGTGCCTGAAAGAGCAGACATTTTTCTTGCCAGGAAAGGTAATGGATCTACAACTTTTCCATTAATAATGGGACCTGATACAACAGAATCTTACACAACTGGAGGATTTCGTTTTGAGGTCAGCAAGAATACCACGAGCATATACTTCCAGATCACGACAAAACTAAAAGCTACTTTCAAGGTGAAAATATTTACAGGTGCCAATGTCACTCACCGTCAGCCCACAGCCTTGTTTACTGCTTTTCACAACATGTCCACAGTTGCA